ATTTCTGGAGGGTATTCATAAATTATATGCCTGTGAGACCACCATGCACAGTGGGCCTTCCTCGGAGTATGCTGCAGATTCAGGGTGTCCCCTACCCTGGCTCTCTCCATTTGAATTTGAATGTGATGGAGGTGTTGCAGGGGAAACACAAGAGCCTCTCATCCCCAACTCTCTGGTTTAGCAGGACATGAAGAGAAGAGCCCTGATCTTAGGCCCACAATAAAGTTTGCTTTGCCAATGGGGAGAAAAACGAACACACCGAAACACTTGTAATGTCTCTTAAATTAAAGATACTCTATTCTGATTCATTTAGAGAGATAAGTACTTACATAAATAGAATATTCCTAAAGTTCCCAGATAATAAGAAAATTTATCTTATACTATTTTAAATATGCTGCACTAAAAAAAATTCTTCTTATAATTTTAAGAATCAAGTTCACATAGTTAAGGTAAATCTCTGGCAAATGAGACTAGCTTAATTATTTTGGTTAATAAGCAAACCCAGCCATGTTCTTTCTCTTATCAGTGTTAAGTAGGAAAATACATTTTATTTTGCTTGGGTTTGTTTTTTCCTAAAATTATATAGGCTACTCATCAAAGAGTCTAACGCTATTCTTATATAATACTTAAGATTGTGAAAAATCTAAAATTTGGTTCAATGAAATAGAATCATTATTCTGACAAACTTTTAATTTCAATAGTAATTATGTTTGTAGAATGTCAGCTTGAAAATAATTTTCAAGATTTTTAACTAATTTAAAATCTTGAACAGTTATTAAATTGATTAATTAATGAATAATCATGAGATACCTTGATTTCTAAGTACAATAGGATACTCGATCACTGCTTACTAAGCATGACTTTTAGTTAATACATTATACTTTGCTTCTTATTTTAATATGTCATAGAGAGGATATATCTTTGGGTCGTGTTAATGAGTATGTTTTCATTTTTGCTACATTAAGAAGGTACAAAGGGGATGTGTGTGGCTGTACAAAGTTGTATTCTGTGTTTATGAACTTTGCTAGTCCGCTAAAATGCTTACATATGATTTGTCAATGATTGATGCCCTCTAATTTTTGCTGTGAAATAGAAATTAGTGATTTTCTTAAACATTATAATAAATATGGGTGGTTGCAATTATGTTAGAAGTAATAATGACAGACAAGTAAAACTATGCATATTCTTTCACTTTTCAGGAAAAAAAATATTAAAAAAAAAGTCCAATACTCAAAATACTTGGTCTCAGGACCCTTTACATGCTCTTAAATTAAAATCCATTAAGGATCCCTACAGCTTTTGTTATGTGGGTTATGTCTATCGATATTTACTGTATTAGAAATTAAAACTAAGAAGTTAAGAATATTTATTTGTTGGTTCATTTGTAAACAGCAGTGATGAAGCTATTTCATGTTAACATAAGTAACTTATTGTTTATACATTGTTTTACAATTTAAAAAATCTCTTTAATGTTCAGCTTAATAGAAGTCAGGTGGATTCTCTTATTTGCTTCCGTATTCAGTCTGATGAGATATTATAGCTCATACAGCCACTGGAAAAACTCACTGTACAGTCATGAGAGAAGGAAAATAAAAGAGTCAGATAAAGTCTTAGTTTTATTATGAGAATAGATTTAACCTTGCAGACCCACTTAAAGAGTCTCCAGGACCCTCTTTGGTCTGGAGACCACTCTTAGTTCTAAAGTAAAGTGTCAGTTTGTTCCAACATATAAAAAAAGCATAATAAAGGACAAAACTCTGAAAATGACTTTGATTTGCCTTGGTTTATATTACCTGTGTTTGAAATGAAGCTGAGAAATATATGAAAAGTTTAGTAAGTTCACTCAGTTTTGATGAGCTTACTTCTTTGCTTTACTGATTAATGCTTTCCCTATGATATGTAAGGTTATTCTTTTTGTGTAATATGCCTTTCTGTTTATTTTGTCTTTGATTATTTAAGGAAATAAAAAAGTATAGAACAAAGGTTCCTAATTTATGAATGAGCCAATATTATTTATGATCATGTTACCTTCTATGCTTGTTTTCCAATATTTTATTGTTGCTTTGAAAAATTAGGTAACCAAGTATGTTTCTTAGGTAGCTATGATCCTATCTTAATCAGGTGCCCAATTTTTTTTTTTTTTTTGACAACTCTTTTTTGCCTTCTAAAGATCAGATCTAAATTTAGGAAAAAAAAATTTTTTTCAGAATATCTTCAACGCCTAAGACTATGTTTGAAATTTCCTAGAGGGCCCCTAGAAAGTCACGAAGATTTGTTCTTTCATCTTATAAAAAGAGAAATTAGAAATAGTTAGGTTTGTTTGGTATGTTACCGTTACAGGAGTTTCGGAGGAAGGGAGTTACTGTTACATCTGAGAAGAAAGGCTCACTGTGCTCTAGGTTAGGTTTATGCAGGTAAAATGTCATTAATATAATGTTTCAGAAATTGTATGCTTTATGGGAAGTGTCTGGAGATTTGACAATGCCCTTGCTGTTCATAATATGTTTTCACCCTCAGGGGAAACACTGACCAAAACTTTTATGAAATAGTTACCTACTCTATACCAGTAGAGAATCTTACTTATCTTCTAATATTATTGGTTACAGTAATAAATTAAGCACAGCTATTAAATATCTACTAGCTAAGGAAAGCCTCTGTTTTACTTTGATGCTGGCCTGAAGGCTCTGCTATATAAGCTACAGTAAATAGTTTGTGTCTGCAACAAAGAGAGACTCAGAGCACTAGGGAAAAGGACAATCATAGGTATTTTGAACTATTGATGCTTCAAAGAATAGTCTCTAGGGTACAGGCTGCTGAGGTGATATAGCTTAGATAACTTTTGTACAGTACCAGTGGACTGAGTCAGGAATCCCAGGACTCTTTAGAATAAAAACAGATGGTTTCAAGAAAGCAGACTGCTAACCCATGATCTAGCAGAACAAGAAAAACATGGGACTAAATGAAATGTTAAGGGAAATAAAAAATATTTTAAGAAATTATTTATTTGTTTGGAATATTGTTGATTAGTTTTAATATTCTATTGCTATATGGCTCTAGATGTGTAAAACAAACTCAAGGAGACCTATATGGTTAATTAGTACTTTTGTTGCTAAATAATCAGGGCAAACCTATGAGACCAGTCCTTTTCTGTGATTAGTAATGATCTTTGTGATTATTTTGATCATATGGGGTGGGGGAGACACTGTTAGGAAAAATTAAGAGACTTTGAAATAGGAAGAAACAATTATTTGATGTCCAGTCTAGCGTATCCTTATCGATTATCTACACGTTTCATTGTCTTTGAGCTATTTTACAGTTCTGTAGGTGGTGGAAAATTTATAGTAATGCACACAATTCTTTAGTTTTTAGGGCCGAAAGCAGATACTGTTTACCTGAAACTTTTGGTGTTTTATAAAAATGAAAACTCTTTGCAAAGGCTATGTGAAACAGGAGGAGGTGGGGGTGGGGAGAGATTTTGAGGGAAGCAACTATGGAAGAGTCATTTCTCCTTGGCTGAGAAGAGGATAGAAGTCTGTGGGTCCCACAAGCAGCAGGGGCCCCTTTCCTCTGCCCTAAGACTCGCAGTCTCCCCATAATCCCAGTGCTATTAGCATGGCCCAAAAGAACAAAGATCTGAGATCTAATGGCATGACAAGGACACTCTAGATGCATCCAGCGAAGAATGGTGACCAGATGTGTCTCCTTGATGCTCTGTTGCATCTTAAGCCCCTCCCAGTTCTTTGGCATAATTTTTGGAGGCAATTAGTCCTATAGTGGCTTAAATAAAATTTCCTGCCAGTTCTGTAGCATAGGTACTCACAGTAGAATTTAAGTTGAATCACATAAATAAATTTCTTGTGTACCTGAGTTTCTGCACTTAAAATTCATGCGTGCTACATAATGCTTCTGGATCTTTCCTTGACTAACTTCCCTGTCTTTTCAGTGGCTGGTTTTCAGGATCTGCCCTTGGGCTGAAGCAGATGTTCTCTCTCTTACACTTTTCTTTCTTTCTGCTACTGAAGTACACTGGAATTCTTTTGGGGACTAGAATTTGCAGGCTGGCAGGAGTTTGCTGCATTGATGCTTTCTCTCTTTCTTCCTGGTTCTTCTTTCATATGATTCCCCCTCAAGGAATTAGGAAGGACAATTATTAGCTCCTATGGAATACTCTGGGATGCCCAGTTCCTAAAAATCTCCTTCCTAGTAAATTAAAGGTTTAGTGTAAGTATCTTACCACACAGAGAGTAAAAAAAGAAAACCAATATGCTTTACTATATTGGCTGTTGACCTGTGAGCAAATCCCTGGGATAAATGACATCTTTGTTAGCACTAATAAAGAAGGTTAAGGTCCAGAAGTGTTCTGTTCTTACCATAATTGAGCCACAATTGCCAAGCCTATGTAAGCTATAAGCTTGTTGCCTCTTCAGAAGTACTGGTAAAGCAAACTTCTGGTCTGCCAAATAGGTACTGTCCCATAATTAAGTTCATTAGCAACCAAGGTAAGTTTTATATGAAATACTCCCTGGGAATAAGAAATTTAAAATTTAAGTACTCTTAACTTCAGGGTTTGCCCTCGTGATGCTCAGAGCACATCAGGCAGTTTGATGGTAATGAAAACAGACATGTTGCAAATTATTTCTTATAGCTTTGCTACAATGCAGACCTCAGCCCCTAGCCTTTGTGATCTTGGGAGAGGACTGCAGCAATCTTCTCTACCCAGGGCTCAAGGCCTCTAGGAGACTTTGAGGGAAGACTGACCCAGCAATCTGTCTGCTATGAAGAGAATACCTATCTACATTTTAACACCTTCACTCCTGGATTTAATTTGAGATGGTAAGCTCTCTGACTTATCTGCACTGCATACCTTTTAGAATGCCCAGAAATTTCTGAAGCCCTGTGGATTTTCAGCTTTGTGGGAGTCTGGTTATGGATACCAGATGACTACCACACCACTGTTAATCAACTGCATACTACATTTTTTGAACCTCATTTTTTCATACCTTTTCCCCCATGGACACACCCCCTGATGTGATGATGACATCAGCACGACTGATACCCTCATTCAAGGCATTGAGTAAGTCATCTGGGCTGGAAAAAAAATAAAGACAAATAAATTAACACACAAGAAAAAGATTTTAAATATAGTGCCAACTAAAAACTAGACCACCTATTCAACGAGTAGGCATTAACATGAGTACAGCACAAAAGTCTGTATGAAGTGGGAATCAAAAAGGTCTCTGCACAGTAAAAGCATAACTCATTGTGGAGAAAGAAACTTGTAAGTGTGGAAATAGTAGTTACTGGTACTTTCACAGGCTTTTTACTCAACAAGGCAGTATAATAAGGGGAGACAGTGAGGTGTGGATAGGCTGCCTAACCATCCCAGTTTGCCTAGGAGTATCCCAGATGTAGTGCTGAAAGTTACATTTCCTAGGAAACTTCAGGCACACCAGGACAGTTGATCACCCTAGGTGTTGGAGACTTAGGACTCTTTAGAGGGAATATGACTTAATTTAGTTAGGCCTTGAGAAATGGGCTCAATTTTTACAGGTGGGAAGGAATGGGAAAGGGCCTTGTAAGCAAGAGGATAGAACTGTGATGAAGCCTGTGGTGTTCTCGATGAATGGGGAAAATGAACTGCTTGAGTGAGGGACCTGACTTGGAACGGCTGGGATAGGTAGTATAGGGCATGATTTTGGAGGGCTCTCAAGGTCAAGAATTTGAACTTCATCTAATGGGAAAAGGATGGGGGGGTCCCTAAAAATATAAAGAGCCAGTAGGTGTTTACTGGGAAAAGGGTAGAGAAAAAAAGAACAAGGAAGGCAGAGACAGTATGAGATATTTTGAGAGGATAAAGGGACAGGGTGAATGTTAGGGATTGAAATTAGTGAGATTCCTGACAGTCAACTGAAAAGACAAGTGCACCAGGCCCTCTGATTGCACAGATGAAGGCCTGGGAGGAAGGATGGTGTGAAATCAACAGTCTTATCCTATTGATGTTAGAAGGGTTGCAAAGGCCTAACTTGAGATTAATCAAGTGAGAAAAAAACAAAATGCCAAGCATCAGGTTTCTGGAGGGACAGGAAATCAGGCAATAGCTGAAAGGGACTGCTGAGTCACAATTTTAAATGCATACAAAGCTACTGGGCAATGTGCACTGCACTTGCATTTACCTTCAAATGATGGAGTACAGAAAAGGTGCCTTTTGACGAATATTTGTTCAGCCTAAACCCTTGTTTTCTAAGAACTTTTTACCCTGTGGAGAAGGGAGGTATTTCCCTTTCTCCTCCAGAGACATCTAACATGTGCATTTAAAAAGGGAACAATCCTGGCTTCTGATGCTCTAGTTCTTGTTTTTAGTCCTTCCTGAGGCCTATTCTTGGTCTTGTGCTCCAGGAGACAACTCTTCCCATAAATCCCCCCCTTTGCTTAAACTAGAATCAGCAGGTTTTTGTTAACTTGAAATCAAATGATGTCTCAATGGGATAGCATACGTTCTCCCAAATCTCTCGTGGTAGTGAAGTTTGTTCATATCCTTTTCCCTTGATGCACTATTTCATGGGAGGATGAGGAGGAGGGAGAGGAGATGAAGGAGGAGGAGGAAGAGATTTGTAACTAGCACAAATTTTATCCAGGGGTGACAGAGGTAAGGAGAGGAACTTGAGATCTACCTGAGAGGCTCTTCAGGAGACAAAGTTGGGAGGTGGCACATTACAGAGATTAAGAGTGTGAACTCTGGAGTCAGACTTCCTGAGTTTAAATCCTGGTGCTACTACCTGCTAGATGTAGAACCTTGGACAAGTTGCTAAACCTTTCTTTGCCTTAGTTTTCCATCTGTAAAGTAGGAATAGTACAGGGTTGTTATGTGGGTTAAGTAACATAATATATATAAGTTTGTGGGATAATACCTGGTACAAACTGAGCTTATAAGAAAGGTTGGTTGTTGTTGTTATTACTGTGGTACTGACAAAAGTTATCATACAAACCTAACAACCTGGCCGAGTTCAACTTTAGCATATTTGACTGTTTTTATTTAGGAGAATATCTATGACTAACACAGAAGAAAATCATAGATTGGACCTCAAATATATTCACAGAACTGTATGTGAAAAGCCCAAAGGGCTCAATAATAAGCTAGGCCTGGTTCCAGCCTGAACAGTTCCATTTACTATTAGGTTCTCTTACTGACTCTAGATAAAATTCTCCTGCTCCTCAAGCACTGGCCTGTCCATGAGTGTACCAGAAGTTGTTTGGCTCTGGTGAGCAAGTTCCCAAGGAGACAACAATAAAAGTTTGAAAAATGGCTCACATGAGGTTCAATCTATAACACAGAGATCCTTTGAAATCATCCAGTTAATTGCTTATGCAGCCAAAAAGATACCCAGGTATTCAATGAAGGTAGGATCTATGTGTAAAACATTAAAAAAAAAAAAAAAACTTAAAAAAAAATCCCTGACATGAATTTTGAAGCTAATTTGGTTGGGCAAACATCTTGGAAGAGTTATATTAAAAAATGGGTATATTTTTGAACTATGTATTTTGAACAGATTTTTCATCAATCTTTTTCATTTAGCTTTAGGGAAAAAGATAAGAAATTATTCTTTTGTACTGAAATACTATAAGATATGTATGTGATGGATTCCTGATCACTGCATGCCCAGCACTCTGGTCCCCTTGCCTTGCTGAATCATTAAGCTGAGCCAAATGGTTGGCCTATGGAGTAAATGGGAAAAACATCACAAACACAGGGTGATGTGGGATGTAATTCAGGTGAAGGGACAATGACTATCATTAACACAACATATAATTTTGTGTTAGTATAAGAGACATTTGCTAATTCTACCAATCTTACAATATTTAATTTATAGCTTGTCAACTCTACAGGATTATGGCAAAGTCATTGGAAACAAAGCAGCAGTGACATACACATCAACATCTTTGTAGGTGGGTAAAGTTCCTGGGACAGGCTAGCTGATGGCTGCAAATAAACATACTTTGCAGTGATTTTTTTTTCCACCTTATTCCTTGTTTTCATATTATCTGGGAAAGACTTTTTTCCTATTTTGTAAAACTGCAGAGTCATCAACTCTCCACATGATATTTTCTAACTTGCAGAAATAAACTAAAAGGAATTTTATATTAAGCAAGTCCTTACTGTAATTTATTATGTTTCAAAGAATACACTCAATGGTGCTTTATTCTCTGTGGCTGATGGATTCACAAAATCACTAAATCTTAAAATTGGAAAGGTCTTTGGGGGTCATTGTGTTCAGTAGCAGAGCTGGGAGCACTCTTTGGGGCTTGCCCTTCTCTATCTCCCTCTGTCCATCTCTTTAACTCTACTTTCAGTTGCATACTTCTGGTGTGTGGGACCTAGTAAGAGATCATAGCTTACAGGGACAGGGACCAATGTATGGCAACTGTCAGAGGATTTGTAACTTCACTTATACTGCATGATATAACTCCATTTATTATTTCACAATAAATCTCTGAGGTAGATTGAACAGTATGATTATGCCTATTTTACAGAAAAGGAAAGTGATATTCAGAGAGGCAAAGTAGCATATTAAAGGCTAGGCGGAGCAGTAAGTGGCAGAGCTAGGACTAGAACCTCTGTTTCCTTGTCGAGTGCCTAAGCAGAGTGATTGTCTAGTTTTTTCAGGCATACGATATGTCATACAAGGAAAACTCTCACGAAAATGGACCGTTATGCAAAAGCATAAAACAGAGGATGCTAAGGCAGCAGGAGAAGATCTGTCTGGGATGACAAGAAAAGTGCATCTGTGAACATGTTAGTTCTGCGGAATGAAACAAACATAGTTCTGAATCCTATATTCAGATGAAAACTAAATAAGATTTTGATTAAACATAACTTAGGGCTTGCTCACAAGTCATAAATTTGCTCTCTTTTTTTGTGATTCATATTTTAAATGATGAAATATTTCTCGCATAAGATAACAGTATAACACCCATGTAACCATCTCTCAGATTTGACAAATGCTAATATTTTCCCATATTTATTTCATATTCCATCTCCCCAACCTTTTTATTTTTAAGAACTAAAAACTGAGTTTGCTTCTAAGATTAAGAGATTACTCTGAATAATGATAAAAAATAGGTAGCAAGGATTATAATCATGGATATTATAGTAGGATAAAAATAATTCATAATTTTCTCAGTTTTGTTAAACAGAGAGCATAGCATATTAATTTTCACAACGATAGGAGAGTAAAATGAAAACATAATATGACCTTATATGTCTTATGTATGACATTACTTCCTATATATAAGATCAGTTGATATTTAAGAAATAAAATTAATGACAATAATTCTCGTTTTAAAAGAACAATACACTGTCACACTTATGTGTTAATTTTACAACTCTATGATGTAGGCAGGGCAAGAGAGGTCAATGAAATTCACAGAGGTAGTGACAGGTTCAAGGTCACCTATGTTCACTCTACAATTCTTTTAAACTACAGTAGTATTCACACTGTGAAAGACACTTTGTTATATACATCGTCAGAAAAGTTATTTATCATTTTTATCTAAGTATATAAATATTATTTGTGTATGTCAAATAGTGATGATCAAAAACCAATAACTTGTATTTTTTACATTTGAAATATCTTCTCACCATTGCCACTCGAAGGGATGTTCAATTAAGCAGATTAGTAAGTTTTCTAGGTATATACCAGTAGCTTCCCTTTTCTCAAAGAACAGCATATCTTAAAGGGATATTGTGATATCATTTAATTCTTTCTTCATTAAAAACTGCAGTTTTAATTAGATTTGAAAGGTGATTAACCATTTCTTTAAAGATAAATCTAATACTAGCATTAATCTTCATTTACTAACACTTTCTATCCATTTTCACTTGAAATAAGTACCTACCCATGGTTCTCTGAGAGTACCAATATTAAATGAAAACATTCTATAAGAGCATTGATTTAGTGCTAAATGCTAGAAATTTAAGTACTCGGTGACAGAAAACAGAACTGTCAACCGAAGCCTGAGTGTGTCAGGGTCTAGAATCCAGTTTTGTCTCTACCGCTGAGATGACTTTGAAAAATGAACATCATTTCTTG